TTTCTCTGTTGTCCCCTCTCCTAAGGTATGTTGTCTAGCATTATGTTACCTTCTTATCAATCCCAGTAAATTTTCTTAAAAAGCTGTATACCAATTCCCTTGTTGGGCATTAAACTACACGTCTCTAGATGAGCCAATATATTTCAATAAAATCAAACTTGAGAAAAATGTACATGTACTTAGATTTTAGGAAAAGTAAAAATATTCCAGATTCAAGTAATCATTTACATGTTATGTTCAATTAATGACTAATTTTTCAGTATTTGTAACTATAATTCTACTGCGTTACTTACGCAATAAAGGCTATTTTAGCATATTTTAAATTCTTTTGGTAGTTTACATAGGTTGTAAGGTCCATTGATAATGTGTACATTGTTTCCCTTTGGCTTCTTGACAATATTATTCTTTTAAACACATTTTCAAATTTTTCCTGAACATTAGTGCACATGGGTCTGGAGGCGTAAAGCTTCATATGAACCGGAAGCTTGTTACAATCCTAATAGTAATAAGACGACTGCTATATGCCGCAGTTATTTTAGTCGATCCTTTAACTTCGAATGTCATTTAACCACGACAATTCTACAACTTCATCTATTATTTCAGGTCTCAGACACAGTTGTCGAACCATACAACGCCACATTGTCCGTCCATCAACTTGTAGAGAACACAGATGAGACATTCTGTATCGACAACGAGGCTCTGTATGACATCTGTTTCAGAACCTTGAAGTTGACCACACCCACATACGGTGACTTGAACCATCTCGTATCGGCTACTATGTCCGGTGTAACCACTTGTCTCCGATTCCCTGGTCAGTTGAATGCTGATCTTCGTAAATTGGCCGTCAACATGGTTCCCTTCCCACGTCTTCACTTCTTCATACCAGGTTTCTCACCACTTACCTCACGTGGTAGTCAACAATACAGGGCACTCACTGTACCTGAACTTACTCAGCAAATGTTTGATGCCAAGAACATGATGGCCGCCTGTGACCCACGTCACGGACGTTACCTTACCGTTGCCGCGATGTTCCGTGGTCGTATGTCCATGAAGGAGGTCGATGAACAAATGTTGAACGTCCAGAATAAGAACAGCAGCTACTTCGTTGAATGGATTCCCAACAACGTCAAGACAGCTGTTTGTGATATCCCACCACGTGGTCTCAAGATGGCCGCCACCTTCATTGGTAACAGTACCGCCATCCAAGAATTGTTCAAGCGTATCTCTGAACAGTTCACCGCTATGTTCCGTCGTAAGGCTTTCTTACATTGGTATACTGGTGAAGGTATGGACGAGATGGAGTTTACCGAGGCAGAATCTAACATGAACGACTTGGTCTCTGAATACCAGCAGTACCAAGATGCCACAGCGGAAGAAGAAGGCGAGTTTGAAGAGGAGGAAGACGAAGAAATGCAGACCCCTGCTAAATAATAAACATTTACGAACAAGTTAAATTATTACTTATTTTCGAATTTATGAAAGAAATCAAATTAATTTTTCAATCTATTTAAATCAGAGGATGATAAATATAATTCAACAATTAAAAGATGCAGAATTATATGTTGTTTGTTGATTTTTTTACAATTCAAAGACGTATAACATCACAATGAACTAAGTCATTGCCTGCAAAAACAACGACAAAAAACAAACCAGCCTAACAACATGTTTAAACTTTTAAAGTGCGTATCTGAACACTGCAGTACGATGATTTTAAACAGGTTAGTACGAAGACGACAACGATAAATGTAATTTGACAACCATTCGGTAAAACACGAAAAATGAAAAAAACACACTTAAAATAGACATAACATAACTTACATTGTAAATGACATACGAAAGGACATAATTATTTTAAAATTTTGTTACAATAAACACAAGCTCTATGAAAAAAATGCATGGAACGATACAAAATCGGCAGAATCTAACATGAACGATTTCGTCTCTGAATACCAGCAGTACCAAGATGTCACAGCGGAAGAAGAGGGCGAGTTTGACGAGGAGTAGGAAGATGACAATGGGCCACAGCAAGCAAAGTTAATTGTCTTTCAAAATAACAAACATTTACGAAATAAATAATCACTTACTTGCGAATTTATGAAAGAAATTAAATTAATTTTTAAACCTATTTTAACATGAGGAAAATAAATATCATTCAACGATAAAAGGATGCTGAATATGATGTAGTTTGTAGTATTTCTTAAAATTCAAAGGCGTATAATATCAAATTGAATTAAATTCATTGTCTACTAAAATAAAAATAAAAGCTTAAATATCCATACATTATTACGATGATAGCATACGAAAGGACATCTATATTCCAATAAACGCAAGCTCGATGAAAAAGATATATAACAAAGTTTGTAATACTTCTCTTGCAACATTAACAAAATACATTGATATAATTATAATGCAAAGAGCTATGGTGATTACAATTCTATAAAAACTTTATTGGTTCTTTTTCTTATTAATAGTTACAAATAATGGATAAGTATTGGACAAGTAGCAGCATTTCCAGAAATGCTAGGGATGGCAGCTCAGCAGGGTAATTTGAAAAATATGTATTTACCGAAAAAACAGATCTAAAGCTAATGTTTCTTTTTAAGGGAAATATTGCACCGAGGGAGACTACACATTGGTTAACGTTCGAACATGTAGAAAGTATTTCAATTCTACTATCAAGATAACCCGACAAACACATGGCGGATGGCGTGCCCCGTATAGGTGCCCCTTTTTGGGGTCTTTCTTCGTCCATTTTGTAATCATGTGGTATTTAATTCTCCATTTTAATTGGCTTGGGGCAGGCGATATACGGGTAGAAATGGTCAGACCTTGTTAATTGTATATGTTGCCGTTTAGCAACGGTTTCTATGTAAAAATGATAAACGGTAACGCCAGATAGATGTTTAGAACGTCTCTCCAAATGGTATATGTCCCAAATAATATTGTACATTTTGATACATCTTTTAAAATCTAAAACTAATGAAATATCAAATATCTCGTGTTCTTATTACTGACAAAAAGTCGATGAAAAGTACGATGCTTTCTACTAAGTTCATTTTAAATGATTTATTTTTTTAAGGCTATTAGAACATTATAAATTTTATAAATTATTGAAATACTCCTTTGTAGATATTGTATATAAGGCTTGACATTTAGACAACTTTCAATAGAGAGGGTATGAATACCGAACTATTTTTCATTGATGCCGACGTTCGTCACTGTATTGATAATTATAAATCATCGCCAGGTATGAATACTAATTATCTGAATTAGTGAAAATCAATAAAACAACGTAAATGAAAATACTTGATGCGTGCAGTACTAAAGCCGATCTTTTTACTGATCAATACTTTCATGTAGAGTTCACAAAAACTCTGTACATAGTTGTAATTCGATTTAAAGGTACGTGTACATGGATTTCACACAAAAAAAACAACAATAAAAACACTAACAAAAACAAACAATTTAATAAACAAATAAATAAATGCAACTAACAAAATAAATAAATAGATAAATAAAATAAGAAAGAAAGAGGGAAACAAACATACAAAAAACGTACCAGCAAACATACCAACAAACAAACAAATAATTGTAACTAATATAATAGCAATAAAGAAGAAGAAAAGAAAGAGACCTTTCCATGTTAGTATATACAATGTATATGGATTAAATCATTCAAACCGATCTGTCTATAAAATATATCATAAACGAATTAACATCAAATAGGCTTTCAAAAAAGCTTAAACACACAGACATCGTACTTTAACTTAAAAGTTTAGAAACATCCCTAGTTTTTTAAATCCCTATTTTTTTTTTAGTTTTTCCCTGTATCAGTTTCAACATTGAGATTTAATGATTTGATTATGACTCGGACAAAATATTAACCTGAGAAGGAATTCCACTGACATAAAAAATATGGGCGCTAAAAAGCGGGAAAATGAAACTCGTATTTCTAATTGATTCTGAGCCCAATCTGGATAAAAAAAACGTTTGAACGATTCTTAATATTGAGTCATTCTTCACAGTTACATTTATCACATTGATCAATTATCCACGTGACCAACTGAAATTTCTATAAATATTGTTCAGGCTCAATTCCTCAAAAGAGAGGGACAGTCTTTTATAATTTAGGTACCTTTTATTTTGTACCATAAACAATTTTCATGATCGATTGTGGCCAATCACCATAATAAACGACAAACATTTGAACATATTACTAATTCAACTCGATAGCAAAAAAAAAAGAATAGCATACTGTCACTTTAAAATCATTGTTTTGGAAAAACGAAGCAAGCGAATGTTCTGAAATTTTGCACACAAGTTATTGACTTAGACCTTCATGAAATGGTACATAAATCTCGAAAATATATTCCCAGTCCTTTTCTGTCAACAAAAATCTCAGTATAGGAGTCCCTTTAAAGGATTTTCGTTTCTACGATTTGAATTTTTCATTCATTATTTTGTAAATGTCCACTAGGCAGTCACAGAAACACCACTTTTCTCCTTATAAAGAATAAAATGGTGGTTTCCTAACTTAACTCACGTGGGTCAGGTTAGAGCATTCAGATTACATAATAGTTGTCACAGTTAACTCTGGAAACGGAAACGTTAAGAACATGTCAAATGAATGGCTAAGACTTGCTTCAATCATACTCTGTTATTGTAACTTTCAGGGTTTGTTCAAGTCACAAGACTTGTTTTAAAACTACTCGGTTATTCTGTCGGCGTCTAAATTTATACAGAAATTCAAGCTGTGACTTTAAAAAATGTCATTTTAGCGTTATTTGAGTGTATAAGATCATTGATATATTTTTGTCATTAATTTGTCTGAGTATCCCCTTAAGAAAACCAACAAAGCTACCAGTACCTATAAAGTTTCTATAGGTGATGACCTGGATGGAAAACATAGGGAAGACGAGTTACGGCACATTCTCCCGCTATATGGTCAGCTGAGCGTGAATGTTTATGAAGTTGTCAAGGAGCAGTGAACTCATCTTGTCCCCGCTATATAAACAGATCATTACCACGCCGAGTTCTTTGTGGGCTATAAAAAATTGAACTGGCGTTTCAAGTGCCGTCTTGGGAAAAGTAATTAAATAAAGATGAGAGAAATTGTACATATTCAGGCCGGGCAATGCGGCAACCAGATCGGTGCTAAGGTACGACTCTTTTATATTATTACAATAATATTATATTCCTAAAATTTAACATCAAAACTGCAACTTCGGAAGAATTAGTTCATTTACTAATAGGAAAATTAAAAAGCAGTATTTTACGTTACAACTTACAATAATGCTGTAAAGTTATACTTTAGATTATTGTATCATGCATATCTAATTTATTTATGTTAAGTTGTGTCTGTCTTCTCTGGTAAATAACCTACACAAAGTAATTGTTATAGGAAAACTGAATATTTTATAATACAATATCATCAAGATAAGGAAATTTTCTATAAATCTATATATACAGTTGAGTGACGAAGTTACTGTTATTTTAATTGTTTTGGTAGAATTTCATTAATCTTTCTTTATTCTTATGATATTATCCATATCCAAATAATATACCTAATTAACTCATGAACTCATTAAGTTATCGGTCCCATGTGCAAAATGAATAATATGTAATATACATATATATAAAATTGTTTTGCGTGATATCAAATAACAAATAAAGATAATTTAACGTCCACAAAAATGTTATAAAATGGTACAAATATAATTTGTCGCTTTATATTATTTAATCACTTGAATAACTTTCAGTTCTGGGAAGTGATCTCAGACGAGCATGGAATTGACCCCACCGGTACATACCACGGGGACTCTGACCTTCAACTTGAGAGAATCAACGTCTACTATAATGAAGCCACTGGTATGTTACAAAGTCATTTAAATCCACTTTTGTCTCATAATATATATGGTAAATTTTGAAACTTTAATATCGAGATTCATCCGTGTCAAAACTCTGCGTAGTTAAAGGATAAATAATACTGAAACTAACGTTACTCCGGATTGTATTGACGATAAGCAAAATGTCATAACTTATTACGTTACTATTCATAAAATGAATATTTTCAGGTGGTAAATATGTACCCCGTGCAATTCTTGTTGACCTTGAGCCCGGAACCATGGACTCAGTCAGGTCTGGACCATTTGGTCAAATCTTCAGACCAGACAACTTTGTCTTCGGACAGAGTGGAGCTGGAAACAACTGGGCCAAAGGTCACTACACCGAAGGTGCTGAGCTGGTCGACTCAGTCCTGGATGTTGTAAGAAAAGAATCAGAAAGCTGTGATTGCCTGCAGGGATTCCAACTCACACACTCTCTTGGTGGTGGTACAGGCTCTGGTATGGGAACACTCCTCATCAGCAAGATCCGTGAAGAGTACCCCGACAGGATCATGAACACTTTCTCAGTTGTCCCTTCTCCAAAGGTAAGTATTTTATAGGTTGTGTGTTCGATAAATTGCTTATGACCTTGTTCTCTAATACGTACGATATTCAGATGTACGTAGCAAAGTTATCTTAACTATCATAAATTTATTTAGGTAATTAAATTGAAACATATAATTCCATTAGCAGGAATATATATGAAAATGATAATATAACATGTTCAAGTACATCTTTCTGATACATTTTGTCATTTGCAGGTATCTGACACCGTTGTTGAACCTTACAACGCAACACTCTCAGTTCATCAACTTGTAGAGAACACAGATGAGACATTCTGTATCGACAACGAGGCCCTCTACGACATCTGTTTCAGAACCTTGAAATTGGTCACACCCACATACGGTGACTTGAACCATTTGGTATCGGCTACAATGTCCGGTGTTACCACTTGTCTCCGATTCCCTGGTCAGTTGAACGCAGATCTCCGCAAACTGGCCGTAAATATGGTACCCTTCCCGCGTCTACATTTCTTCATGCCAGGATTCGCACCTCTTACATCACGAGGTAGTCAACAGTACCGGGCACTTACTGTACCTGAACTTACTCAGCAAATGTTTGATGCCAAGAACATGATGGCCGCTTGTGACCCACGTCACGGACGTTACCTTACCGTTGCTGCGATGTTCCGTGGTCGTATGTCCATGAAGGAGGTCGATGAACAAATGTTGAATGTCCAAAATAAGAACAGCAGCTACTTCGTCGAATGGATTCCCAACAACGTCAAGACAGCAGTATGCGATATCCCACCACGTGGTCTCAAGATGGCTGCTACCTTTATTGGAAACAGTACTGCAATCCAGGAGTTGTTCAAGCGTATCTCTGAACAGTTCACCGCTATGTTCCGTCGTAAGGCTTTCTTACATTGGTATACTGGTGAAGGTATGGACGAGATGGAGTTTACCGAGGCAGAATCTAACATGAACGACTTGGTCTCTGAATACCAGCAGTACCAAGATGCCACAGCGGAAGAAGAGGGCGAGTTTGATGAGGAGGAAGACGAAGAAGGGCAGACGCCTAATTAATTGCCTTTCTAAATAACAAACATTTACGAACTAAATTATCACTTTTTTTCGAATTTATGAAAAAAATTAAATTAATATTTCAACGTATTTTAACCAGAGGGAAATAATTATTGTTCAACATTAATAAAAGGATGCAGAATTAGATGTAGTTTGTTGTATTTCTTAAAATTCAAAGACATATAATATCATAATGAAATAAACTCATTGTCTATGAAAATAAACAAAAGTTTAAACAGCTATAAATTATTACGATAATGGCATACGAAAGGATATCTATAGTCCAATAAACGAAAGGTCGATGAAAAAGATAAATAACAAAGTTTGAAATACTTCTTTTGCAACATTAACAAAATACATTGATATAATTATAAAGCAAAGAGCTATAGTGATTACAATTCTATAAAAACTTTATTGGTTCTATTTCTTATTAATAGTTACAAATAATGGATAAGTATTTGACAAGTAGCAGCATTTCCAGATATGCTAGGGATGGCAGCTCACCAGGGTATTTGAAAAATATTTGAGCCGCGTCACGACAAAACCAACGTAATGGGTTTGCGACCAGCATTGATCCAGACCAGCCTGCGCAACCGCGCAGTCTGATCATGATCCACGCTGTTCGCTATCAGTTTTTTTACTTGTTATAGGGTTTGTAAGCGAACAGCATGGATCCTGAACAGACTGCGCGAATAATAATAATAATAATAATAATGAAGACTTTATTTAACGAGAGAACTCATTTGAACAAATATCAATCTCCCATGAGGCCCTCAATAAGGAAAAATGTAAATTTAACATATTCAAACTATTAAGAGGGCGAGTTTGACGAGGAGGAGGAGGACGATGATCTACCACAGAAAACAAATTAATTGTCTTTCAAAATAACAAACATTTACTAAAATACTTATTTATCACTTATTTTCAAATTTATGAAAGAAATCAAATTAATTTTTCAACCTAATTAAATCAGAGTCAAATAAATATAGTTCAACAATTAAATGATGCAGAATTAGACGTAGTTTGTTGTATTTCTTACAATTCAAAGACGTATAATATCATAATGAGCTAACTTAAAAATAAAAAAAGCTTAACAGCATTTTTAAACTGTTGAAGTGCGTATTTTAAACAGCTAAGTAACTAACAATAACGACAGCCATTCGGAAGAACATGAAAAATGAAAAACCTTTGAATTGACAAAACATAATTTGCATTGTCAATTTATGACATACGAAAGGACATCTTTATTTTAAGATTCTTTTACAAAAAACGCAAGCTCTATGAAATAAATTGCATGGAACGATACAAAAACGTGACTTCAGTCTTATCAAATATGACAAAGGATGAGATAATACGCTTATAACATTAACAAAATACACTAATATCACAATAAATCAAGAGGCTATAGTGATTTCAATTCTATAAAACCTTAATGATTCTTTTTCTTATCAAAATGTAGTTACATTACAAATATTGACAAGTATAAGCATTTCCAAACAATGTTAGGAATCACCGCTAAGCCGGGTATTTGAAATGTATTTATTCGTGAAATAGACTATTTCCTGAAAAACAGATCTAAAGCTAATGTTTATTTTTAATACGAAATGTTGTATATACTGTTAACCCCGAGGGAGACTTCACACTTGGTATGGTTCGAACATAAAGACAGTATTTCAATACTATATATAGAATATATGGGTGCCCCTTTTTGAGGTCTTTTTTCGTCCCTTTTGTTATCATGAAGTATTTAACTCTCCATTTTGATTAGATTAGGGCAGGCGGTATTTGATATTTCGACGTTCAGACACAGTTTCTATGTAAATTAAGAAAGAGAAAAAAGATGAATTAAAAGGTAACGCCGAATAGATATTTGGAACACATATTTTTCAACTGATATTGTACATTTCGATACAGCTTTTAAAATCTAAAACTAATGAATTATTAATTATTTCATGTTCTTATAACGATAAAAATACGATGCTTTCTACCAAGATCATTTTACTTGATTTTAATTTTTTAAGGCTATTAACACAATATAATTTTTTCCATATCAAAACACTACTGTCATTATTAATCTGGTTCTGTCGAAGCACAGTTGCGCTTTTCTACTTTTGATACGGTAAGAAAAAAAACGGCGGAGTATATCTAGGTATTTCAACCGTTAGTCTAGAAGAACCTAGGACACTTGATGCGATGCTTTAAAAGCCACTGTTATCTTCTCGTATTCGCAGACGATTTGTTACAATGCATAATTTCACAGAATTATAGAAACAATTATCTCCGTGAAGTGAAATAACACAGTCATGCTCCACACTCCTCATATATGTATCATGTTGAATTGTTGTAGTCTTTTGTAATCATTTTGATTCTCCGTACATTTTGAACAGAACAGAACAAAATATTTTATTGGCATTAAATACAAACAATATTTATAGCCATATAAATATAAACATATATAGTGGTGCATACAAACTTAACGTCAAGAAGAACAAAAATTTAACAATTTAGATTAAACAAATATTTTCAATTTGTCTATATACAAATAATTTAGCCATTGAAACTGGACGATATAACAATACTGAACAACAACGATACTGTACTCAATGTAATATGAATATGTTTGAAGATCCTTATCATTTTTTACTTGTTTGTCCTAAATACAGACAGTTCAAAACTTTCACCCGTATTTGTGCAGATGGCCATCTATTCAAAAGTTCACTACTTTAATATCAACAGATTCTATAAAATTTATCTACAAATTAGGTTGATTTTTATATTTGATATCATTCCCATTAAGGAATTAATGTCTAATTCCATTGTTTGCGTCATTTTTCAACATTTCATAATTATATATTTATAATCAATGGGTTGTTTGATTTTAAAACTTTTATCCAATATTTGATAATTATCAATTGCCGTGCTGTTTTCATGGGATATCGCCCAATTTCACCATACAAGCCGTATAAGATTTGTCCATCGTTTTACACATAACAATTTTCGAAGGAATTTACAATGTATTCGTTCAATGTGGTTGCCATCATGATACCCCCAGACTGATTCATTGTAATTTAATATAGAACCTACTAAACTGTCAAAGAGACGAAATTTTTCTTTCACGGGTTATTCAATTTGATAAAAAACTATAAAAGGTTATGGAGCGTAAATGATGAATGTTTTGATATTCTAATTTGTGTTCTGTACCACGATCCCTTTCTGAAGAGATGCGTTCCTTAATACTTAAATGATGGGACTACTTCTACACAAAGTGATTATTTGCTCAAACCGGTCGGTGCTTTAGGGAACATGATAGATATTGCAATTTATTATCTCACATGAACAGACTCAATCATACGGAGACAGAAATTTTAATGCTATCTTGTTGTTTGCATAATTTACGAGGTATCTTCAATTTCTCATTTTCTTATCAGACTTGAAGGTGTGCACAAACGACGTCCTTGTGTTTAATACTAAAATATTCTGAAATATTCCGAAACTCGTTCAGTAATGCTCATATTTATTAACTGACAATTCATAAATAATATCTACATGTATATAAATATCGAATAAAGGTCTCTCTGATACAAGAATGTAATCTTAAGCATTTCATATTGATTTTCTGATTCCAATAAGATTCTGAATTTCAGAGTAAATCAATTACACTGTTCAGACGTACAGACACTATTGATTAGTCTTTATCTTTTGCATGATGTGATCGATATAACGGTAATTTAAGATTTTATGCAACCCTGTACATAATAACGGCTTGTTCAGAAGTATTGGCAGTTTGACAGTTTAATATTCAACGAGAATATAATCATGGCAAAACGATAGATCCATCTTAGAACAAAGTTGTCTCGTTTTATTAAAGGGGCTCCATTAAGGTTCGAAATTCGAAAAAAAAATATCATCAACAGAGGCACTCACATTGGAAAATATGCAAACGATAACAAATAAATAAACTCAGAATAAAATTTAAAATCGATTTCTGTGAGATTCCTTGTCCAATTTGTTTCAAAATCGTTAAAACGCTTTTTGTAGTCATTTTACACAATTGAAATGATTATTATGGAAAAAATAGTAAGGGAATGATTTGAAATATGTACACAAGTTATTAGTATAGACCTACAACAAATGCTGTTAAATTTTTACAAAATTATTTTCAGCCCATTAGTGACGTTGAGAATTCGCGTAAGTGACGTTGTAAATTCGTATTAGTGACGTTGTGAACTCGTATTAGTGACGTTTGAATTCGTGTAAGTGACGTTGTGAATTCGTGTAAGTGACGTTGTGAATTCGTATAAGCGACGTTGTGAATTTGTATTAGTGACACATTTTTTAAGCTGCTTCGCTATTTCTTGTGATGATTAGATGCATGGCAAGATAGAATCAAAAATATGCGTTGATATCTCTTTTGTAGCATTAATATTAATAAGGTAACATTTACATAAATAAATGTTATATTTGTTTTGTAGTCAAAAGGCACTGTAAACATTACATGAAAAATTATAATACTTACGTCACACAAAGTCAGTAATTGTCGGATTCAAATACAAATGTATTCTGTTTTAAGTCTGTTAAAGTGATATGGGTACGATTACTAATTGCCTATGATTTTTTTTTAAATCTCGAGGGGTGTCGATGGTTGGTGATAGAAAGATGGGATGCCAACATTCACCTCGTTAGACAGTCACTGAGTCGTGTGTATTATGAAGTTGTCATGGAGAAAAGCCGGCTCATCCATGATAAAGTATAAATAAGCAACGCATTGTCACATTTATTGTTTTGCGCGTAAAATATTCTTTGACTAACACACGTTCCATATTAAGGGTATCAAAACGAGAATAAGGATGAGAGAAATTTTACATCTTCAGGCTGGACAATGTGGCAACCAGATCGGTGCTAAGGTTAGATGTTTTATAAAATCATTCAATTGTAAACAGTTATCAAACTTCAAATATGCATTTTTAAATGAGACAATGGAAGGACATGATAAATTATTCATCAAGTAATCATAAACCGTCTGTATAGAAAAGTTTAATCTTGACGTACATTTCAATTTGTTGCCATGCTGCCTTTTATACACTTCAAAGTAGCCTCGTCGGACAAGTGGTTACAGGAGAAACATGCCGACTAAATAGCTCCAGTCTAAAAAAATCTTAATTGAATTTTTTGAACAATATGAAGAAATTACTCAATAAGTAATCAGGAGTGTTCAATGAATATTTACGCATTGAATTAAAATGTATGCAACAAAATAAAAAAAAAATTGAATCACATTTTAATTAAATTAAGAAAAGTCTTAAACAACGATACAATATCTATAAAAGTTATGAGGTAAAAATCAGATAGACATTATACCTGATTTAAAAATTCAACATATTTTAGATTGATTGAAACATGTAACGATGCTCATTTCAAATAAGAAATGTGTATTGTCATATTTTTTATATTTAGAAGTCTTTCCATACACTGCAAACACTTGTTTATACATATATGTAATGAAATTATAATACATGTACAAATACTGATTATACTGGCAGACGCATACAAATTGATACGTCCGTTTTAGAGATTCACACTACGCCCACTGGTGGCAACATAATCTACCCATTGGGCTGTGCTGACTGATCATAGTCTGCAATGTTCACTTCACAGGCAGTATGGCTTATACAATATAAATTGTTAAAATTTTCCCTAAATTGACGAATGGTTAAGTCTAGTTTTAAAGACGGCAAAGTCCATTTAAGACACATAGCGGAATAAGGGTTAATAATGCTTAATTGCTTCTATCAGTTGATATCTGTTTACTTCCAGTTCTGGGAGGTCCTCTCAGACGAGCATGGAATTGACCCCGTCGGTTCATACCAAGGAGACTCTGACCTTCAACTTGAGAGAATCAATGTCTACTATAACGAAGGCACTGGTATGTAAATCCTTAAAATGAATAATAACACTTCTAAATAGAAACTACATATCAGTAGATAACATTCCCATGACAATATAATCTGATAATCAAATACACACAAATGTAACATGGCTTGAATAATTAAAACATTCATTAGTAACAGATGAACACATGCTCTGGCGTCTTTTAACGTTTTAAGGCTGTAACCACCCTGCCATAACTCTAAGATAGGTATGATAAAATAGAAATTAAAAACTTTTATGAAAATATTATTTTATATATGAAAAGTTTCTTGTATTCTTTTTTGATACAACATAAAATAGTACAGAAGTACATCTGCTGAATGGAACACGAAATGTATTGTGATTATGTAAACATTGATACTTTTCAGGGGGCAAATATGTTCCGCGCGCTGTCCTTGTTGATCTTGAGCCTGGAACCATGGACTCTGTGAGGTCTGGACCATTTGGCGGGCTCTTCAGACCAGATAACTTTGTCTTCGGACAGAGTGGAGCTGGAAACAACTGGGCCAAAGGTCACTACACCGAGGGAGCCGAGCTGGTCGACACTGTTCTTGATGTAGTCAGGAAAGAAGCCGAAAGCTGTGATTGCCTTCAGGGATTTCAACTCACACACTCCCTTGGTGGTGGTACCGGCTCTGGTATGGGAACACTGCTCATCAGCAAGATCCGTGAAGAGTATCCTGACAGAGTCATGACCATTTTCTCTTTTGTTCTTCCCCAAAAGGTGTGGGGGGTGTGTGTTTTTCACAATTTTTAATTTAAATTTTATCTGTACAAAACCAAGTTTATTTCCCTGATCAATTTTCATAATCAATGAAAATAAGGAAACATTTTTTAAGTTTTTTTAAAAATTTTTTTTTGCTTATTTTATGCGTAATTTTTAAAGGGGGCAATTTAACATTATATTGGTTTCCGTAATAGGTATCGACCAGCGTGGAACATAAACCACGCTGTCATTCAAAAACTTGTAGAAAACACAGAGAACTTTCTGTACGACAAGACCCCCTCTACGACATCTTTTCAGCCCTTTAAAATTGGCCCCAAACCCCACATAGGGTGCTTAAAACCTTTTGGGTATCGGCTAAAATTCCCGGGTGTTCCACTTGTCTCCGTTTCCCGGTCATTGAACGCAATCTCCGCAAACTGGCCGAATAGGTACCTCCCGCCCTACATTCTTCATCCAATTCGCACCTTTACATCAAGGTATAAACAGACCGGCCTTACTGTACCTGAACTTACTCCAAATTTAGGAAAAATGATGGCCGTTGTGACCCGTCATGGCGTTCCCTTTACTGCCGGGGGTTTCCTGCCGAAGCCCCAGAAGGAGGTCGATAACAAATTTTAAACGCCAAACAAGAACACAGCTACTTCGTTGAAGGGTTTCCCAAACAACTTTAAGACAGCTGCTGCGATTCCCCCCCACGGGGTCTTAAAATTCTGGAACTTCATCGGAAAACAAAATGAAACCAAAATTATTAAGCGATTCGAAAGTTAAGCTATTTTCAGGCGAAGGTTTTTCTTACTTTGGTTACGGTGAAGGAGGGAGAAGGGATTTACGAGGCAGAATCTAACATGAACGATTGATATCAAGTATCAAAAATATGGGACGCTACCGAGGGGAATGCACTGGATATGAAGAAAAAAAAATAGAAGAAAACGGCGAGTATTGACTTTTTCGTCATAAGTAGCTTAGTTCTATATATTTTTTTATTTAAATTAAAAGAATGTTTTGCATACACCACTATTAATCAGTTTTAAAATGTAAAATTTGCTTAAATTTTTTAAAAATTCTTAAAAAGAAATTTTTCTTTTCAGAAAATTTTTCAAAAAAACAAATTTTAAAAACAAATTTTGACTTAAAAAATTTCTGACTTGGCGTTTTTTTAAAGATGCTAGATCCACAGTAATAAGAAAATTACTTCAATATTCGTTAATATATTGTCATTTACTGTGTTCACCATAGAAGTCTCTTAAATGATAGTTAATTGAAACATTACAGATAGATAATACTTTATCGTATTGCATACACTTTGTTTCCTAAATCACTGTACTTGACTTTATATAACAAAATCTTAATACCTTATAAGTATATGTATGATTTGTATTACAAAGATGTGTGATTACCCAAAATAAGTGAAATTTATAGGTTAAATAATAGAAGAAAAAAACACCAAACAAAAAACAAGCAAAATAAACAAAACAAAACGACAAAGGTAAAAAACAATAAAATATTGAATATTTACGTCAAAGAGACATTTTTGGTTTTGTTATGGATAAATATTTAATTCCAGCTTTAAAGTCAAATACCATGTGGAATACTTGAACATATATTATGAAATATTAATTTGTTTCAACTCTGAAAAACCTTCAGCACAATGAGCCGGAACGCTGATAAATTTTGTAATTTTGAATAAACAATGCTGTCTGTAAAGAGGTGTACTTTTCAAAACCAACATTGTATTTAAGCGGTGCCCATTATTCATGAGACAGGCGACAATTCACTTGGAAACAAGCCACAATAGAAATGCAATGTATATACGGATGTTGGTTTATACAGAATCGATTTCAGTTCCATTGTGTAGGAAGCTATAAGCTTATAGACATACTTTCGAAACCTTTCCTGGAACCAACCAGTACTGAACAATGAGTGTAAATTAAGTTTCTTGCCGAAGGAAACTAAGGCTAGCATCTGACCGGTTTAAACCAATGCGACCTACTAAACCGACGCTTAATTAATAACCACTCAGCCATGCCACCACTATACGGATGTTGTTGGAAAGTAATAAAGAATTCTAGAACAAAATATTATAATTCATCATATAAATGTTTATAATAAATCACTATAGAACCTTATCAACATTCTGTTTTCCAGAAATATTTCATAAACATATCCAAATGATATACTGTCTTTATCATATTTGAAATACTTATGAAATATATCCCCAGTGTAGGCCGATCCACTTTAAGTTTCCAATTAAACATGTAACCTTTCGTCTGTAAAAATAGTTTTAGCATAATACATTTATTAAATCAAAAGAAATAGTAAAAAATGACAACATTTGAGGATGTTAAAAGAAAAAGCAAACGCGTTTGTTTAAAACGTTTTACTGTACACGCTTACTATAATTAAACTACACTGTAATAGATATCATTTATAGCTTGTTGTTGAAGACAGCTATTCCTTGTTTATTTTTGTTCTCATACCGTATAATATTATATAATTATTGATACATAATTTTCTATGTTGTTTACATATGATATCCTAATAAATATGAATACTTACAACCATATTTATTGCAACATTTATGAATTAAGAACAGGCCACAATTTGTGCTCAACCTAACGAGATCGGTTACTTCAGTACTTTGATTATTTGAGTCTCGATTTAATATTAATTAGATGGCATACCTTTAAAACATCAGGCGATCTGGATGGATGAATATTGAACATCGGGATGCTGAACATATTTCCCCCGAGACAACCAGTCACGCGTAAATGTTTACGAAGTTGTCAAGGTGTTAAGTCAACTAATATCGAATACAGTATATAATACACCAGTCGTTTTCACGCCTGTTGTTTTGTGCGAGTGAAAGTATCGGGGTGTGGAATATTGAGTTGGTGAAATATTGAAAATATAACAAAATGAGAGAAATTGTACATCTTCAGGCCGGACAATGTGGCAACCAGATTGGTGCAAAGGTAAACTTTTGTTTTCCTTTTTACGCATATTTAAGTCTAAAATTTTATATCCGTTTCCCGGATAAATTGGTTGTTACATATTTACTAATTCACATTGTTCTAAATTTATGATAAGTGAATTATCAATCCAATTATATAAACTCTATATTTAAAAAACTGAAATAAACAACAACATTTAAAGTGTAAAAATCACTTGCTGTGATTCCTGAATATACAGATATATTCATATATCTATATACATGTATATATAGTTTATTTTAATATAATTAAAGTTAATTATTGCAAAGACCATTTTACTATATATTTTATAACCATTGTTGCTATAGTAACTTTGTTGTTCGATACTAGCAAATGATTACCAGTAGCGGTTGATTGAAAACAATGTGGTGACGTGAGCCTCCGTTAAACCTAGTCCAAATAATTATTGTTCACATAACTTATGTGCCATTTTTCTACAGATTAAACCAAATCTCCCGGTATTTACATATAAATATTTTGCATGGTCATTTAATAAAGAATGACATAATATCTCACATTTCTAAATTACTGAAATAGGTTTATATAATGCTTCAAATTTAACCTAAAACCAACATCTTTGTATTTTTGAAAGTATGCTCGGAAAGGTTTTAAAATGAAGGTTAAAATGTGGGGAAACACTTTAAAGATCGTTCAAAACTGCAACATTGAAACTGTTGCATCCGACACTTGTAAAATAAAACGATGACATCAAATAAAATAAATTAATAATATTAATTAAATAATGTTTGTGCCCTATATGGGAAAACAAAGGGTTTTGAAGAAAATTAAATGAAAGGTTTAAGGGATGAGACGTTATGAATATAAAAAATCCCCTTTGTAACGTATTCTGAGGAAGACTTGGCTATAATAATGATTGCATGTATCATCAGCATTTTACTACCTTCATAAAATTTTCATGGTTAAATTGACATCAATTTCACGTGATTAAATTGATCAGACTGTACCGCCAGCTTCATTGATTAAAGGCAATCTATGTGATAAAACAATCATCAAAAGATACCGAACATATTTCTATGTTTTTTATTCTACGCCGGGAGTGGCTATAATATTATATATACATGTATGTTTAGGAAATCGAATGTTGTTATTCACGTAGTGAAACTGAATTACGTCAATACAAAATCAAAGCACAGAAGGCGCTGAATTTGTTTGGGTCCCAGAATGTCAGAAAGGTGAAGGTTGTGAGATTATAAACCAATTTGTTTGTAAAGTGTCAGAAAATTCTGTTTCCATTGTTATAACTATAGTAAATTGGCTATAAGACTAATTGCAACACTGATATTCAATTCAATGTTTATTTGGCTTAAACAATTAAAAAACAAAAACACATGAGTTGCCTGAACTGGGATTTGAACTCTGGACGTCTCGTTTCTGAAGCGAGCGTGTAAACCCCTCGATAAGATAACAGCCTGAAGAATACCATATTATTCTTAATTAGAGTTTGTAACCCATAATAATTTCGATATATTTTGTTCACGGTAAACCTATTGTAATTAATCATAGAGCTGAATATAAACATGTATATCTATATAAGGATAACACAATATTAGAAATCTTCCACCAATCGGGAACTATTTTTTCGTTACGAAAATTGTCATTTGACAATCTTTACGCAGTGAGCTCCCCTTAATTTTTCAGCGTTAATGTACATATGAAGGGAAATAACCGCTTCGAGGAGTTTGGACTACTTTCGGTATAATTTGCAAATAAGAACATCAGGGTCTGAAATTTCGATACCATTATTTGTTTGGTCTGACGACCCAAATAAATAAAAACTGTTTTACTTAAAGCAACTCCACTAAGGTCCGAAGGGCTAAAAACATAAAATTTAAATTTCTTACATAGATCAGCTGGGACACTTAAAACAGGAAGATATGCAACAGATCATCAAGAAATATTCACCTAAATAAATTGGAAATCGTATGTTTGTGCTATTCTTAGTCCGATTTGAGTGAAAAGCTTTGCAGTACTTTCCTGTTTTGGCCCTTCTTCACAATTAGAACAAATATTCCGGAAAACGGAATGAGCGAATTATCTAAACTTAAGCACACAGTGTATTGATCTATAACTATCGAATGGAACATTAATCTCAGAAAATATTTCCAGTCCCGCCATGTATAAAACCTCAGTGGTGGAGTCCCTTTTATAAAATTTGATATTGTTCTGAGTTGAGAACAATTTTATTCTTTCACGAGAGTTTAACAGGAAATCATTTTGACAAACAATTGTTGTTTACTCGACTGACTGTGGCAGTTTGTGTTTTTTTAGTTTTATCATTATTTCATTTGTTTTTTTTTAAATTTTCAGTTCTGGGAAGTGATCTCAGACGAGCATGGAATTGACCCCACCGGTACATACCACGGGGATTCTGACCTTCAACTTGAGAGAATCAATGTCTACTATAATGAAGCTACTGGTATGTATATAGTCGAGAATATAATATCTGATATTAGTACAATTTGTTTTGTAATGTATAGGATCATCGCAACTTTAAGTGAAACAATAACCCTTACTTTTCGGTACATTTGAACTTCATCAATTAACAATCAAAACAATTCAGTACTTTAGTGATAGAAAAAAATAATGAAATAATATAACGAAACAAAATATGCCAATTTCTAAAACGTTGCATTTAAGAGAACATACAACAAATTAAACGTGAATTTTCTGAATTTAACTTTTTTTAATTTCTTTTAGGTGGTAAATATGTCCCCCGTGCAGTTCTTGTTGACCTTGAGCCCGGAACCATGGACTCGGTCAGGTCCGGACCATTTGGTCAGATCTTTAGACCAGACAACTTTGTTTTCGGACAGAGTGGAGCTGGAAACAACTGGGCCAAAGGTCACTACACAGAGGGAGCTGAGCTGGTTGACTCAGTCCTTGATGTTGTACGAAAGGAAGCGGAAAGTTGTGATTGTCTACAGGGATTTCAACAAACTCATTCTTTGGGTGGTGGTACAGGCTCTGGCATGGGAACACTGCTAATCAGCAAGATCCGTGAGGAATACCCCGACAGAATCATGACCACATTCTCAGTTGTTCCCTCCCCTAAGGTTTGTATGCTCAATATTAATAATATCTGTCATATTTTGCGGTTCGGATCGGAATTTCTTGCATATCAGACTGGCGTTTCCGTTAGTTTTACCCATGCCGGAAATTTCATCTGGCATGGGGGGTTCCAGATGAGTCGCGTGCTGTACAATGGCACGATAAAGATGACGTCATTTTACCGTTATGAATGATTTTGTAATTCATACGCTGTTGAATGAAAGTAGTTACGGTTGTAATGATATAAATTTTCATTGAAAATGAAGATAAAGAATTTAAAATATAATGGAATATGGTAGAATATGCAAGAAAAAATATCTGACATATGTTTGCGGTTCGGATCGGAATATCCGTCCCTCGGTCACCCGCCCATGGGCGGTAACTCGGCAAGCCTCGTTACCGCCCAATGGGCGGGTCACCTCGGGACGGATATTCCATCCGAACCGCAAAATATGACAGATATTATTAATCTGTCATATTTTGCGATTCGGATCGCATGGGCGGGTGACTGAGGGACGGATATTCCGATCCGAACCGCAAACATATGTCAGATATTTTTTCTTGCATATTCTACCATATTCCATTATATTTTAAATTCTTTATCTTTATTTTCAATGAAAATTTATATCATTACAACCGTAACTACTTTCATTCAACAGCGTATGAATTACAAAATCATTCATAACGGTAAAATGACGTCATCAAATATCGTGCCATTGTACAGCACGCGACTCATCTGGAACCCCCCATGCCAGATGAAATTTCCGGCATGGGTAAAACTAACGGAAACGCCAGTCTGTTATGCAAGAAACATGTAGTTTCATTATTTTGTATATCATTTAAACAGTATACATTAACACTAGTTAACACCATCTACTCATACAAGTCAATTTTCAAATACTGTTTTATAGATAGGTTATACGAAAACCTTCTGACGATTTTATGCTGCAAATACCGTTAATATCCTAAATGTTTGTCTGAGTAGCTCTGGTCCTTTAAGTGAGCTTAAGCATATAAATTACGATATTGTTCTCAATCAGGTATCTGACACAGTCGTGGAACCATACAACGCAACACTTTCAGTTCACCAACTTGTCGAGAACACCGATGAGACATTTTGTATCGACAACGAGGCTCTGTATGACATCTGTTTCAGAACTTTGAAATTGACCACTCCCACATACGGTGACTTGAACCATCTGGTATCGGCCACAATGTCCGGTGTTACCACTTGTCTTCGATTCCCTGGTCAGTTGAACGCTGATCTCCGCAAATTGGCTGTCAACATGGTTCCCTTCCCACGTCTCCACTTCTTCATGCCAGGTTTCGCACCTCTTACATCACGTGGTAGTCAACAGTACCGGGCACTCACTGTACCTGAACTTACTCAGCAAATGTTTGATGCCAAGAACATGATGGCCGCTTGTGACCCACGTCACGGACGTTACCTTACCGTTGCTGCGATGTTCCGTGGCCGTATGTCCATGAAGGAGGTCGATGAACAAATGTTGAACGTCCAGAACAAGAACAGCAGCTACTTCGTCGAATGGATTCCCAACAATGTCAAGACAGCTGTGTGTGATATCCCACCACGTGGTCTCAAGATGGCCGCCACCTTCGTTGGTAATAGTACCGCCATCCAAGAATTGTTCAAGCGTATCTCTGAACAGTTCACCGCTATGTTCCGTCGTAAGGCTTTCTTACATTGGTATACTGGTGAGGGTATGGACGAGATGGAGTTTACCGAGGCAGAATCTAACATGAACGACTTGGTCTCTGAATACCAGCAGTACCAAGATGCCACAGCGGAAGAAGAGGGCGAGTTTGACGAGGAGGAGGATGCTGAAGAAGAAGAAGGTTAAATTGTTAAACTGACATTTCTTGTGTCAAGTCATTGTTATAAAAAAAACAAA